ACCTGGAAATAGGCTTTTCAAGTTTCCCAGCCCTGAAGGCCCTCTGCACACAGGGGGTTCCCTAACTCACAATTGAACTAAGAGTAACCAACAACTACACGATTTGGGAGGATTTTTTTCCCTTTCCATTGTCTAAAATGTGCCTGTTAGGTTGATTCCAACTTCCGGTCACCCACAGGTGTCGGAATTGAACTGGGCTCCATTGGGATTTCAGTGGCTGATTATTGGGGAAGCAGCGTTTCTTTCCAGGTACTTGGTGGCCTCTGCCCTCCAACCTTTCAGTTAGCAACTCAGTCAGTTAGCCTGTGCAGTGCACCACCTATGGGGACAATTGGGAGAAGATGAGGCTTTCTGCTCCCACGGCGAGTCCTGGAAGCCCACAGGGGGGTCCCACCCTGCCTGTTGGGTTGCTCTGAGTCAGAATTGACTCAAGAGCAGTGAGTGTGAAGGATATGGAGTACAGGTGGGGGACCCCCCAAAAAATCCCCCAAACCCACTGGTCCTGAGTGAATGTTGACTCACAGTGAACCAATGGGCAGGGTGGAACTGCTCCCTTGGGTTTCTATAAATGTTTGTGGGAGCTGGCAATCGCTGACCTTTTGGTTGACAGTCTAGTTACCACTCCCCCGCCCCCCCCCCACTGCTTCTTGATTTGGGGGCTATGTTTCTGTATTTTAAAGATGACAGAAAGGATGATATTTTAATCTGTAGAACGAAAAGGTGATAAAAGAAGACAGTTGACCATGAGGGCAAGGTTTCTGAGAAGATGAGAGAGAACGAAGGTTCTGAAACAGGAGAACAGAGACAAGGCTAGGGCTTCCTTCTGTTTGAATGCCTTCGAAATTTTAAAATCTTGGAGCTGCACACAGGATTTTTCAATTATATACCAAATTTGGCAATTTAAAATTTTTTCAAACTAACATTACCAGTTCCACCAATTTCAACATGCATCTCTACATTCCATCTCATGACCTTGATTCGCACTGTTGTGTAGCCTGCTTTTTGGAGCCCAGGTAGTGATGTGGGTTAACCATTGGGCTGCGAACTACAAGATCGGAGGTTCAAGTTTACCAGCCTGTCGGTGGAAGGAAGATGAGGCTGTCTGCTCCCCTGAAGATTTAAAGTCTCAGGAACTCTAAGGAGCAGTTCGACTCTGCCCGTTGATTCGATGGCAATGGCTCTGGTTTTGTGGTGTGCCTTATATCTGAATGTCCTAGTCCAGGCACTCTATGGTGGTACTGGCAAGAATAATCCCAAACAGGCACTTTTCCAGATACGTTTAATGTAGGGCAGGGTGTAGCTACCGATACAAACATTTAGGGATTTTGTTTGGTTTTCTTTGGAAGGTATATGCTTAGGAGTATAATTCCTGTGTCCCGTATTGTTCTATTTACAAAATTTTTTAGGACAAATTGAATTTTAAGTTATCTTTTTTGTCTCTTGCTCAAGGGATCTATGAATACAACTTGTATTATGTGCATATTACATTACAGATTTTGCATTCAACCATTTTCATGATCATAAATGGATACATTGAGTCTTCCAAAGTGTTCAGAAAAGTCTCCTATTATTTTGTGCAAAAAATTTCATCCCATACCCTAATCAGAAAACCCTTGTGTTTTGGTAAACGTATCCTTAGACTCGATTTTAAAGGGGTTTGTTTGTTTTTTCTCCCAGCCGTATACAAAGAGGTATCCAACTTATTTGACAAATAAAAGCAGTCCTATGTAAAAGTTTGCCAATTGTACAAGAGGGAGGAAATAGTAGAAATGTAAAAATAGGCCCTCCAACCTCTATAATAACATGCCCATGCTCCTTGATCTATCTCTTGTATTTGGAGACAAACCTTCTCCCTGGGCTTTTAGCATGCCTCATTAACATAAGCAGTCTCTTAGCCTGCAATGCACATTAACCATTCATGCAAATGATTTCTGTTTCCCTGCCGGGGCCCCTTACACACTTATATCACACCTATGAGGCCATTGCTTCTGCCTATCAAAATCAAGCTCTAAGAACCAGCTCCAGTTCCTCCCTCAAGGAGACTTTTTTGAGCCCTCCCTACCCTTAGGGCACTCTCCCTTCCTCCTCTGAACACTCAGCTCTTAATGTTGACACGTCATGCATTTTGCCTTTGATGAAAGTGTTGTTTCCTCAACGAATCACTGTTCTAAGTGCCTCTTTCCTTCCGAAGGCATCCTAGGGAAAATAATCTTCATGAAAGCCCACCCATTCCATGGAATCTATTCCGGCATTACAGGACAGGGTAGAGTTGTTCATAGGCTTTCTGAATCTAAATGTTTATGGGTGCAGGCAGCCTCGTCTTTCTCTCACAGAGCGGCTGGTGGCTCAGAACTGCTGACCTTTTGTATGGCAGCCCAACACAAACCACCACACTACAGAGAGGAGTGGAAAATCACTTTCACAACCTGAGTTGAAAAAAAAAAGTGCAGTGTTTCAGTGAGCAGTCAGAGTTATAAAAATTTCAAACTAAATACAATTATGTTTCTTTATTCATAGCATATGTATTTAACATTATTTTTGTGTTATCTAGAAAATGAAGTTTTAGACCACAGTTTGTGGATGTATCAACAACACTCTGACCGTTTTGTTAATAAAAGAAATAGCTAACAATCATGTTGCCTCACTCTGCTTAATATTCTGAAATGTTTTATCTGAGTTATATAACTACCCTATAAAACAAGTTATTCATACCATTTTCATTTTTTAATTGTGGAAACTCAAGCTCGGGAAGAATAACTGGTGAATAGTTAGTGGGATTTGCATTTGAACCCAGCTATCTCTGACTCTAAAGATTCAACTTTTAATTTGACCGTAGATAGCTTAACTTGCTTATCTAAACTAAATAAAAATCTACTGATGGGTAAACTGCATCTCGATTTACTGGAAGTTCTTTTGTTCAAACTGTTTTTAAATAAGCGAGAGGGCTAGTAATCCGTTGATACATGTCTGGGTCACTGGGTAGTGTAAATGGTTTGCTCTTAGCTACCAACCAAACAGTTGGCATTTCTAAGCCACACAGTGGGGCCACAGAACAAGCCCAGTGAGTGCAGCTCTACACCGAAGCATATGGGATCACCATTCATTGGAATCACTCCAGGGCAACAGATTTTTTTTTTAATATCTAATACCTAATGCTTAAAAATAGGAGCACTAGTAGTAGCATAGTAGTTGGTTACACATTGGGCTATTAGCTGTAAGGTCAGCAGTTCAAAACCAGCAGTTGCTCCGCGGGAGACAAAGCTTTCTACTCCCATAAAGAGCTGTATGCAGTCTCAGGAACTCACAGGAGCAATTCTGCCCTGTCCTATAGGGTCGCTCTGAGTTGACACTGACCCAGTGACTGTGAGTTAGGATTGTTTTTTGGTGGCTCTAAGGAGACCTGGTGGTGTAGTGGGTCATGTGTTGCGCTGCTAATCACAGAGTCAACAGTTTGAATCCACCAGCAGCTCTGCAGGAGAGAAACGTGGCTTTCTCCTCCCATCAGCAGTCATGGGGAGCAGTTCTCTCCTGCCCTACATGTAGGGCCTCTATGAGTCAGAGTTGAATCCACGGCAGTGGGTTTTAGTGTGTTTACTGGGTAAATGTTGGTTTACTAACCGCAAGGTTGGCAATTCAAATTGTGGGAGAAAGATGAGGCTATTTGCTACTGCAAAGATGTACAGCCTTGGAAATCCATGTCATGTCCCGGTAATTTGGAATCGAGTTCATGGCAGTGAGATTTGTTTGGTTTTAGTTTAATATATAGATACAAAATAATGAAATGTGGAAGGCACAGCCCTGCTTTAATGCTGTTTCTTCTTAAAACTATTACTAATGACTTTCGAAATGATATCTTAAATCAAACTAAAACCAAACCAATGAGGCAGTTCTGACTCGCAGTGGCCTTGTAGGATGGAGTAGAACTGCTCCCTAGGGCTTCTGAGACTGGAAATCCTTATGGGAGCAGAGAGCCGCATCTGTCTCCCATGGGCGACTGGTGGAGTCCAATTGCTGACTGTGAGGCAGCAGGCCAAACAAGGAATCCGCTTCTCCGCCAGCACTCCCAGTATCCAAAACTATGGGATTAATTCTCTGATATTTAACTTAATTTAATGAATGAGGAAGATCCCCTCAGGTGTTTCCTCTTAACTAGTTATCAGGCTCCTTGTATATCCTTGAGCCCCCTAAGGAATCTTCGAGTAGACTTTATGTCAGCTCTATGATTCCTCCATCCAGTGCACCAATGGGAGATAGAGTCTTTCTGTGATTGAATATCTGCAGAATTTACCTTAAACCAAGAATTCACAGCTAGCGTTCTGGCTGTTAAATGTAGGCTTTGGCCTTTAGTCATCTCTTTCTGTCGCCTCCTAATGACTGAATTTACTTTGTTATTTCTATTTTCACCTTTGGGAAGCCATCTGGTTTCCAGCAAAACATACTCTGCAATGTTTTTAAAGGGAATTCCAAGTGATTTGTGAAAAATGCCACAATCTGCTCCCTTCATCTGGGTCTTTGCTCCCTGTGGAGCCTGCTTGGTTCGTCTTCTCAATTGCTCTGGGTTGATGTAAAATATTTCATGTTTGTAATATGATGCAGAGAGACTACTCATGCTGGGCATTCTGTATAAAATTATTTCAATCACATAGAGAAGCTATTCTTTCAATTAACATAGGGATACAATGTTACTAAAATTCTTTCAATAACATGTTATAACTTAGCATATATATTATTATGATAAAGAAACCATGAGGAAAGTAACTCGACAGGTATTAATAGCATTACCACTCAGCTAATTATTTCTTCTTGGCAAGTAATGGGGAAAGGGATGAAGTACTGCACCTCGGCGCTGCCCGCAGGTGCCCTGGTCTGCTGTGGTGTGCAGTGGTCCACCGATGCCCAGGCCCTTCGGGTGACATGCTTCCTCACCACAGCCCTATTTTTCAGGTGATGTGAATTCCACGAGTAAACTGTGTGCACTGTCTTCCTCTGATTGCATCTAGGGGATGACACAATGACAGGCGATGGGGGTGAGTACCTCAGGCCGGAGGATCTGAAGGAACTGGGCGACGATTCTCTCCCCAGCAGTCAGTTCCTGGACGGCATGAATTACCTGCGGTACAGTCTGGAAGGAGGACGATCTGACAGGTATTCACATCGAGCTGCTCTCTGAGAGCAAGTCAGATGTGTGGGCAATATCTTTTCATGATAATAATTTAAAACTAGGCGGAGTGCTCAAGCATTGCATAGGTACCTCCCCAAGTCTCATCAGTAGCATGTGATTCCATTTGTCCAACACCTTTAAGAAGCACCCATTTCAAATGACAAGAAACCGAGACCTACCTACAGAGATTGGATAACTTGGTCAGCGCCAGACAACAATAAGAGGCTGAGCGATGAGAAATAAAGAGCTTTTTGCTCTTAACTCTGTTCTAATTCTCTCCCGCTTTAGTTTCAGTCAAATGAAAAGGATGCCTTTGCCTGCTGGGCCTTTTGGCTTTGTGTTATCTGGAAACACTGTGGCCTCCTGGGTTTTCAGTTTGATGATTTCTGTGAGTAAAAGTAGGCTGTGAGGAAGATGTAGAAAGAAACGAATTCTGAAGGGTAATGTGCCTGAAACTTTGTCATTCAAAAGAATCAAAACAGAATTTCGCAAGAGCCTATATACAAAATGCATTCTCAGTAAAATCTGGGGGGAGCCCAGGCATTATAAACAGATCTGGGGATGCTTATATAATATTCTAAATTAGAAACATATTATATTTTGGTGACTGGTAATTAGCATAATGAGCATGTATTATATTTTTAGGAAAACTGAAAGAGCCTCTCCCACCACCCCAAGAAATGGCATCCAAGGCTTGACTACAAATTTAGGCCAGGTGAAATGAAAATATCTTTTGCTAATCAAGGATGTCAGGTTTATAGTTTCAGAATTGGCTCAATTCTAAGCTGTTTTATCAGTAACCAGACTATCTAGGCTCTAAGAAGTCCCTATAAAGAATAAGCACCGTGAAAGGGACAGTCAGCAATAACAGGCTCTTCTTGACCTCGCTTGAGTGTCAATACATACCTCCCCCCTCTCAAAAACGATTCCGTGTTAAAATAATTGAATTTCATGAGTGTTTTTCTGTGCCAGACTTTATGGTAGGTGCAGGGAGCACCCACACGAGTAACATGAATGGTGAAGCAAGCCTTCGTGTGGTGAAGTCAGGCTAGTGGCTCACCAAGTGTTACTGAGGGCTTCCTGGAAGAGGTGACCCTAAGCCAAGAAAGACTGATGAGTAAGGAGAGTTGGTGAGAAAAGGGAGGGAGGGCATTGGGCGCTTTCCAAAGCTCATACACAAAGACTTGTGGTACGTGTAGGGCAGCATGCCTGGCTAGTCAGAGGGAAAGTGTTAGGGATGAGAAATCCTATGTGAACTTTAGATGGGTCATTGAGACAGAGGAGGAACTTTAAAGGAAAGCTGAAAAGGCCAAGCCTTGAGGTTGGGAACCCATGTCCAGAGCTGTGGTTCGCAGTGATTAGGAAAATCTTGACCACTACCCTTATTGGTAGCCATTAAGAGACTTGGAGAAAGAGGAACATTTGAGTCGACCAGATCAATGATGCACCCCAATAGCACGATGATTAAAGTGCTCAGCTGCTGACCAGAAGACCCCTGGTTTGAACCCACCAGCCTTCCACAGGAGAGAGATGTGGCAGTCAATGTCCATCGAGACCATGGTCTTCACAGGCCTAACGGGCACTTCCACTCTTGGTCAGAGACTACTGGACAGGATACAGATGAGGAAGATTAGCAGGGCTCCTTGGCTTCCTTGGGTTAGAGTCCCAGGGGCCGCTTACAGAATGAGGATCCACTCCAAGAGTGTCACCTCCACTGTCAGCGCTAGTGACGGTGTTCGTACTGCCTGTGTTGAGTTTTGACCCATTTAGCTCTGTGGACTCTCTCATTTGAAATTCTTAGTAGATTTTAAAACCTGGGAAAAGGCAGTAGTATGACTTTACATGCATTGTTGAGACTGTGAACAAGCACACGACTCTCGGCCTAAAGCGTGTCTCCTCAGCACGATCTCTTTTATCAAGGGATTAATTGGTGATTCATCTTAACCCTCTGTTGCCTCTTCCAGGGTTTTTAGAGCGAGGAAGAGTCTAGAGTGGTATTTTCCATAAAGCAGGGGCAAGCGCTATGCATGCTTAGCAAGCACAGGGCATGACATAGGGAAGACGTGATTTGATCCCTAGTCCCTCCTTGCACTTCTAGATTACCAGTTCGTTTCATGATCCCCCAAATTTAATTACAAGCAGCATCTCATTTTCATGGTTTTCTTGTTTGTTTTATTACTATTACTGTTCCTTTGCTTAGGCAGTTTGATATAAGTAAGGTGCTTTTTTCGGTAACCATTTCTCCTTTTCATTGTTTCTTTGTTGGTCTGCCTTCAATAGCACCATGCCCAGGTAGGTATTACACAGCATGACGACATGACCTTCCTGGAAACATCACCATTTCAACATGTCCCTGCTCATTGCTTAATGTGCGTACGTGTGTGTATCTGCTTATATCATCGAATTATGGATTTATCATTAATCTATGAATGATCACACGACTCTCAGCCTAAAGTATTTCTCCTCGGCATTATCTCTTTTATTAAGGGATTAATTGGTGATTAATTATAACCCTCAGTTGCCTCTTTCAGCGTTCTTAGAGCAAGAAAGCATTTAGAGTATTATTTATGAAATTTACTATCTGAATCAGGTCATAGACTTTGTTTTAACGGTCACATCGCCACCTTGTGGTTGATAACACGCTAGCACAGGCTGCGAAGCTAACGTAATTGGCCTGTGTGCTCTTGAAGACAGAAAACAGTTCTGTACATGGATGTGGAAGAAGAAGCATATGTATAAAGTAATGAGTAAAAATACAACCACTCCCAATTAGGTTGACATTGTATCTGTGTACTTCATTGTTGCTGACAAGCTCAAAAAGCTATCCCAAGGTGAAACGTTGAAGGACAATTGATTACAGTTGAAAAGAAATTTCTTCAGGTTTTACAGAAAACAAATGGAAGATTTTGGATAGTCACCTATCCAACAGAATTGTACATTTTCATTAATGAAATGTCTAATAGATAGTGCAGTTTACTAAGATGATAATGATTGTGCTTTTCTTTGAATCACAAACTTTCATAACACCTGTGTTTACAAAGCCATTTTGCCATTGTGAACAATAAATAGGCCATCATGAATTGTTGTATCTGTAAGTAAAACTTTAAACTAACAGGAGTCTGAGTAGTTGTAAATTGACTCCCCGAGAAGCCATACCCAAGACTTAATGAATTATTGTACAATATTCGAATTGTTTGTAATGTTCCAGATCAGAATGGACAATTTCTGATCTGAGGACTTGAATAATTCAAGACCACTGGTCTGGCCTTTATTATTACAGGGAGGATTTTTCTGGCCATTAATGTTGCAGAGAGCATGTCTCCACTGATGGAGTGTTCTAGAAATGTTTATTTCATGTAGTAGATTCTGTGTTAGGTCATAGAAGATCATAAGGGTGAGAAACTATAAACGTGGCTTAACCACGTAAGACAGTGGACAGAGAAAGCTGCCGGCGCCATGGAGGACAACATATCGAGACATGTAGCTGTATGGCTGTTCTTCCTTCTCCCTGTCTCTCCAGCTCTCCTTACTTGTTAACTACGCGTCCACGTACGTCTCTTGCTCTCTCTACCCTCTTTCACTGTGGTCTGTAACCTCTCTCTCTTTCCTCCTCTTTCTGGCTCTGTTTTGTTTTTCTTTGTGTGTCGGTGTGTTTTAGGAAAGACAAAAGAAACAATGCCACTCTAACTCTTCCATTCCAAAACAATTTGAGCAATAGACCCTGGCGTCAGGGAGATGGATCTGTAAAAGCCAGCTTTATTACCGGTTGTACAGTCTGACTTCACGCGGACAGCCAAATGGCTCTGTGATGGCTCAGTCCTGAAAAAGACAGACTTGTCCTCCCAGAGGCCACAGTCTCTGTAAGATTAGCAGTTGAGGCCTGGATGCTTTCCTGGAAAGTTCAACGTTTACCATGGTGGTAGTCACCTCAACAGATTTTATTTGTTATGCCTTCATATGCCTTTCAGGACCCATCACCCAGCTTCAATTTCTAGTTCCCCTTTGAGACCTGTGATTCTACTCTTCCGGGGCTGTAGTAAATGGTCAGGTCTTCCTAAAGACATAGCCTGCACTTGCTCTTATGAGCAAACATTTTAAATTCTATACTATAATGCCGCTTAAACATTTGTACTTTTCATTCTTAAAAGTTGAGCACCTTTAAATCTGTAAATATCTGATCTCTAAATCTAGGATAATAAAAAAATAACAACAAAACTCGCTGCCACCGAATCACTTCCGATTCACGGTGGTTCTCTACGACATTGAGAACTGCCTGTGAGTTTCCGAGACTCGGCCTTCACCAGAGAAGAAAGCCTTGGCACATACTTCACAGATCCGTACCTAAGCGAAAGCACTTGATCAAAAGATAGCTGAGCCTGTTCACCAACTGTATAGTTTGAAGAGGTTGGGCCTTCTATTTTCTTCTTCATCGACCAATTAAAAACTAGATAAAGAAGAACAGAATTTAAGCGTTATTGATCTAGTGCTATTTGTTATGGTTGGTACAAAGCACATACAATTGGCACTTAACTATATTAATGGTTTCAGATCCCAAATCAAACGCCCTGCCCTGGAGTTGATTCTCATTCATAGCAACCCTGTGAGGGTAGAACTACCTCTGTGGGTTTCCAAGGCTGTAAATCTTTATGGGAGAAGAAAGCCTCATCTTTCTTCTGTGAAGTGACTGGTGGTTTCGAACTGCTGACCTTGAGGTTACCAGCCCAATTCTAACCCACTTGGCCACCAGGGCTTCTTTCTTTATGGTTTAAAGAGGGGAGAAATAATTGTTCTAAACCACCAGCTGCTCCTTGGGAGAAAGCTGAGGATTTCTATCACTGGAAACATTTACAGTCTCAGAAATTCACCTGCGCAGTTCTACTGTGTCCTAGAAGTTCCCTGTAAGTCGAAATCAACTTGCTGGCAGTGAGTTTGAGTTTTGTTTTCTGCTTAATTTATCAGCTGGGAATGAGTTCTGGTGGTCGAATGGTTAAGTGCCTGGATGCTAACTGAAACTGCAGGGGGTGGGGGGTGGTGGGATAAAAGACAACCGGCTTCTGAAAAGATTATCACTTTGAGCATGCTGTGGGACTAGTTCCACTCTGCTCTTCAGGGTCACTGCGAGTGGGAATTGATGGCAATACCTAATCCACTAATTGACAGAAACAAAGTTTTACTGAGATTGTACCCTTTTCCTGGTCATTTAATCTCTTGCCCTGCCACAAATTCAAGGGCTCATAAAAAGTAGTTAAGGCAGTCTGTAACCCGTTTACAAAGTAACTTATCAAAAGCTAATGGCACAGATGTGAAACTCATTCCTAATATCAGCTCCCCAAGTGTGTGTGTGTGGGGTTAAAGCCCCTGAGAATGGATTTACTAAAGCATCCAGGCTGCCTTCTGCCCTGGCTGTATCAGAAGCCGTAATCTTCCCCAAAGATCTCTGTGACACCAGAAAGCTAGTTCCAAAATTACATTTAGATTCACTATATTATAGACACAATTATAGAGGGAGATAACCACAAACAATCAACTCCTTCTGCTTATGTCACTGACCCTCTGGCCACCCGCCCGGGTCTGTTTTCTTTGGTGTAAACCTACCTGCAAAGCAGGACCTGAATTCCTTCAAGTTACCTACAAAGGGATGCAAATTTAAAGAATCATCGCTGGTGACGACCTTGATGCCTTATAAAGATCACAATACATTGTGCATAAAATTAGGCTAAAAGATTGCAACTAAAAAAAATATGCTAACTCGACATTTAGTCCATAATTCTGCTTCCGTGGCCAAATATCTACTTGCACAGAGTAAATGACAGTTTGCTTCTATAAATATTGTGGAACCCTGAAGACCTCTTTTTTTCTTTTCTTTTCCCTATGGGCTTTGGGCTAATCTTTTGAATCATGATCTTTAATTCTTAGACTACTATGTCTATAGTTTATTTAACATGTCATGCTGTCTCTCATTTGGCTGTGGAAGTTGCCAAAGAAGGAAGTAAATGCTATCGGTGAGAATGTCAAGTTCCACCCATTACTTTTGAGTTTATAAATGAGAATTTTGAACATCTGATTAATCAAAAACCCCATACAATGATGATCAAGGCCTAAATCCCATTTTAAAGCTAAAGCTCCTTTTTTTGGTCTGTGTGCTCAGTGCAGTGTGCTTATTTGCTGGCAGGTGTGGCTGTGTGCAGGGCGGTGCTTGGAAACAGTTTCTTGTGCCCTTGCATCTCATTGCTATAGCAACAAGCATTCCTTGGTTCTGCACTCACCATGCAGAGGACCTGCCAAGGGGACAGTGCTCTCCTTTGCAATCATAGCATTGTTGGGAACACCAGAGACAAACAAGAGGAACTCCACTTCCGCAGGAAGCGTGCATCTGGCCACAGTCCACCCCGCTCTGGCTCTTGCAGGGGAATGGAGCCGCATCCAGTCACCTAGTGTGGAGAGGAGGAGAAAGAGCCCTGGGGACAGAATGGAAAAGAAGGAGCAAAGAAGAAAGCAGGCTTTCATTCGGTTCTCCGCTCTCAGGGCAGTCTACTTCTGCCCTCATATTTTTCTTAATCACAGAGAGATTAACATTTCACGCAGATTTCAGTAATCTGTATCCGGAATTATTTCCTGGGTGACTTTCTTGTGCTGGCACTAGAGCCAGCTCCAGTTGCTGTTTGCAAACATTTCTGGGGAGAAAATGAATCAGATTAGGAGTATCAAATTTTAACTTCTGGATTCCCTTGTGCCCTGGCCATTGAGTGGTAGGAACCAGTGAAAAGGTGTGTTCGTTTAGCTGTTGGACAGAGAGGTAGGGCAACACAGGGACCTGTGTTTCCTGCTCCCACGGTGGCTAGTGATGTCCCCCTGGAAGTTGCACTGTTAGCTAATAGCACGCTTTTTTCCACTCTCCTGCTCGGCTCATCATTTCATCCTCCCAACCCTACCACTGCTGTTGGTACATGACCATGACCTCCTGCCAACCTACCAGCCTCCGATCCTTCAGTTCCGACAGGTCTCACACCCTGAGCCATGCCTCCTACGTGAAGGACAGCGCCATGATCGAGGAGACCGTGGTGATCCCCAGTCATCAGGTACGTGGTTTATTTTGCTTTTATGTCTCTGCTTCACACAGAGCCTTTTAATCGTGCATGGTGCTGGAGAAGCGTAGAGGATATTTTTAATTTTTAAAAATCATTCTTAATTCAGTTGATGAACAAGAAGGAGAGATCTGAGGGTTTTCCCAAACCGTGAGCGGTTCCCATTTGCCGTTGGTGGTTGTTGTTGTGCAGGGTTTCTCTGATTTCATCGGTTGCATATTTCTTCAGCTATACGGGAGTCCTCCATGGAGACTGTGATAAAAGTCCGCTCCTTTATAAAATCCCCACTGGAGGAAAGAGGGAAGAAGACGGCATTGGAGACAAATGGAGTGGTAGAGGTTAAAGCACATCTCCCAAGATTTAAGAGCGTTAGCTTTTAGAAAAGACTTGGAGCCAGATCTGAATTGTTTTGGATTGAGATAGAATTGTATTGCTCTGTGTTGATTGGACATTGGCCAAGAGATGGACGCCTATTTTTCCCCGATAGTCACTTCTGCGGTTGATGGCCAGCAATGCAATTTGCATGGAGATGCTTTTTGAAAGATCCATTTAAAGAGCATCAGCCTTCTGTCGTGTCTTGAAAATGAAAGTCTATCCAGAGAGAGTCGTCTTCCTGTGAAACCACCTTTTGGATTTCATATGTTGCTTCCACCGAAGGAAAGCGATTTTCGTCTTGTTTTGTTTAAGCAAGCCGGTGTTCTTTGTGTCTAGGTGCCAGCTCTAGCCAAGGAGGCAGAAAGGAATGCTTATCGTCTAAGCTGGGGCACTGAGAACTTAGACAACGTGGCTCTTTCTTCTAGCCCGATTCATTCAGGGTGAGTAAATCAATATGGTACATCCAGATCAAGAGGGAAAAAGAGATGGGAGCAAAACTAACAGCTTTGTCCAGGAGCTTTCGTTGACGGCTAGCTTGCCGGGCAGGTGACCGTTGTTGAACTTGTAAATGACATTGCTTCCATCCAAACCAACCAACCAACCAGCAAAGGGGGCTGAATTCAGCATAGAACAACCATCAGGTCAGAATCCCAAGTAGAATTGATTTACACAGCTTGCTGCTAGCCAAGTGGCCTTACCATTCACTTAATGTCTTAAGGACACGTAAAAGAATAAGCAGGATTATTTGCTTCCTAGGAAATTTCCAGTTTGCTAAGATTACCAGCTCAGTTATTTGAAATAAACACCTCACTTATTTAAAATAATGTTTATGTCACAGACACTTGATTTGCACCCAAGCATAGAGTTCAAATGTGAACTAGGAACAGAAAGGAAACTTTGAATGCAACCAATCAGCATCGCAGGGTATACCCAACACGATTTAAGGCATACCGCTTTTTTACATTAAGTCGTTAAAAAGTAAGGCTTCGAGATAAAAAATATAAAGCAGACTTAAAGTTGTTAAATTGTAAGAATTCAAAAAAAACAAAAGAAGCATTCAATGATATGAAATACACAACTCTTACAGTTTTAAATTGAAGCGATTCACATTTATTTCTTATTTTTTAGTAGTTTCAAGGATTATAGTGACATATTTATACACAAAATACCCTACATTTCATTTAGAGTTAAGTCTTTGTTCTTAAAACCTTACCTGCAATTCACCTAACCAAATACAATACTTTGGTCTAAAGTGTCCCAAAGTCTTTTTCTTTAATCCATCAACTATTTTGAGTAATAAAACATTTGTGGTTTTTATTGTCTCAACATATTTCTCCTTTCAGTAAAGCAGTCTAAGATATTATAGTTAATTCTTTTGAACTTATTAGTCTAATCTACTAAATAAAAGCTCATAAAATGGCATTTAATTACACAGATATTAAAAAAAATCTTAATACTCTTCTCATTGAATAAATAAAAGCTAATCCTTATATAAGAGCTCCTCAGAAGAATGAGAATATAATTAAACCTCACTCAAATTCACTCATGTATTTTAAAACATATATGAGATTATTAAACAATCTCAGTGAAAAATTATTAAAAACAGTAACATTCTTTTCTGTTACAAAATCGGTCAACAATAGTGATTATGAAGAAAAAGAGGTCTGGACTTGAGAGATAATAGAAAGTATTATAGAAAATAATCATGATGAAGTATTTAAAGTCCATATCCAGCCTACAAAGTGACAGACATTTTTAGGCAACATAAGATTTAACTATGCAACAACAACAACAAAAATTTAACTATGCATGGCTGATTTTGCCTTTTTAAATAAAAAAAAAGAAACTATTACTTTAGGAAAGAAGTTTCTTGAAGGATTCCTGTGTGTCTGGCTGAAGGACATTGGGTTACTCAGTTTAAGTGCATCCGTGTACATGCCCGTGATATAAAACCAGATTGTCAGTAGATAATTTTATGGTTGATTACTTATGATGAACCCAAAAGCCCAGTGGTTAAATCAATTACTTAATTTGGTCCCTAGTAAACCTATTTATTTTTCTGATAATCTCCAAAAGCAGCTTTGTTGATAAATACTTTCAACTTTGGCTGTGTATTAGAATTACTTGGGAGTTTTAAATCCCCTTATACCCAGGTGCCACCCTAAACACGCACATTAGAATATCTACTGATGGACATTGATATTTTGTAAAACCCAAACCAAGCCTGGACATTGACATTTTATAAAACCAAACAACAACAGAAAACTCCCTGACATCGAATCACTACTGACTCATAGTGAGCCCCAGTGGGTTTCTAAGACTGTAATTAGTTAGGGGAGTAGAAAGCTCAGTCTTCCCCCACCCCACTACCATAGAGATGCTGGTGGTTTTGAACTGCTGACCATGAGGATTGCAGCCCAATGCATAACCACTGCATTACCGGGACTCCCTTTATCTTTTCACTAATGACTGAGATATTTTAAATAACTGTAAGAAGGAAACAACTTTGTTTAATAAAGCTTTGATTACCGATGAAAGCTAGGTAGTTAATGTATACCTATTGTTCTTTATCTCAATAGTTCTTTATCTCTTCCATTTATTTACTTTTTAATTTTTTGTATATTTATCAAATTCCCCTAAGAAGAATTTGACACTGCGCTAAGCACGGACGAGAACAGATAAATAATACCTCATTCCAACCTTTAAGAAGCACGGCTTTTTGCTTTGATCTGCAGTAGGATACCTCTTCTACTGTGGAAGACAGATTACTGCAAAGGGGAATATGCTTTGGAATGAGTGTGCTCTGGAGTGAGACCTGTCAGAATTCAGATGCTGGCCCTGGCCCTCAAGCAGTGACACTGAGCAAGTGATGTGAAATGTCTGAGGTTTCGCTGAGCTCACCTGTAAGAGGAGTGCCATCATTACGGTCCCAGAGGAGAGCTCTAGCCAACACAGTTCAAAGCATGCCATTGTCCCTGGGATGACTTAGGTTTTCTATGTTCCCCATACACAGCTACCATGCGTTTCAAATGGGGTAGGCACAATCTATTCTGGATTCTCTAGATGGCAATATCAATGTGGTACAAGTCAGAATGACAGTGTTTATCTTATTAATTTTATCAGATAATTGTATCACCTTTTATTGCCCCTACTGTGTGCTAGAACCTTTGATACAACAAAGGACTCTGATAGGATGAGTAGTTACTACTAAAAACATAGTGATTAAGTGTCCTAATGTTGAAGAGCTGCCATGATACTAATAACTATGAACAACATTCATCACATCAAATCATGTAACAACTACTTCTTATTTTATTCATTACACACCAAGTATTTGAATAATAGTGTTTTCTAATTTTCAAGGATCAAAGTTTGTCTTTAATTAAGTGGGAGACTTCTTAACCCAGATTTTCAAATTTTGACCCAAACTTAAGTGTTATAAAAAATTGAATTTTGATGGAAGGGACACCATCCCTTGTTACCTTTTATATGCAGATGTCATTAGTTTGTGTGTGCAATATTGTTATATTTCATAAGGAGATAGAAGGCATAATTTCTACCAATAAGCAACCCACTGTCGTTAAGTCAATTCTAACTTAGTGACCCTGTGAGTTTCAGAGGGTTTCAGAGCTGACATGTTTTATAGGAACAGACAGCCTCCTCTTTCTCATGTGGAACTGCTAGGGGGTTTGAACAGCTGAACTTGTAGTTGGCAGCTGAACACTTACGTCATAATACCACAAATAAGTACAGCTAGGGAGTTTATTCTATCTCTACTTTAAATTTACTTTGATAAATGTCCATGAATACAGAAGAATGATATTAGTGACTGAAAAATCTGTTCTATATAACTTAAGCAGCCAATATCTGGTCAAAAAAAAAAAGCCTGGCGGTAATACATATTATTTTTTCTTACCCCGAAGAGGTTGCCTTACTGATTAAAAAAATGAATCTAATAAGCATTTCTTTCTAGCTGCTCTGGACATCACCAAAGGCTGGGAAATCATTTGAATTTTACGAGTCTCCGTTTCCTGAAAGCAGGATGCATTAGCAGAGGGAAAGCAGAATTTCTATTAAGAGCTAGTGTAGTAGTTCCTTTTGAGTCCTGTTATGCAAGCACACTTGTCTGCTGCAGTTTTGTAGTGTTGGGTAGATCTTGCCATGACAACCAGGGGCCAGCAACTCCATGTTGTGCGTCATCATGACACAATGGTACAAGAGGCCATAGTCACCAGGCCACGGGAGGCCCATCTTTTAAAGGACTTCCCTTTCATGAAAATACGGTGAGTAGGTCATTTCAACTACCCTGTTTCCCCGAAAGTAAGACATCCCCCGAAAATAAGACCAACTTACAGTTTTGCCTCTCGCTGAAATATAAGGCATCCCCCGAAAATAAGACCTCCCCGAAAATAAGGCCCCCAGAAGTTACCATAATTCTGGACTCTGGACCGTAGCGGCGGGCACTGCTGTGCAGCTCACTGTTGGCTGCAGCACAGCCGGAGCAGACAGGAAGTGCAAGGTCTCTTTTAATAAAACAATACATGTGTACCGTATTCTTCTTCATGGAAAAATAAGACATCCCCTGAACATAAGACCTAGCACATCTTTGGGAGCAAAAATTAATATAAGACACTGTCTTATTTTCGGGGAAACAGGCTAGTAGAGACTGAGATTTGAAAAGCTAGTAGGTCAAAACACAGATGTTTATGCAAACACCCGCAGCAGTGAATTTGGTTGTTTGTGTATTTAAAACATCCTTGTTTTAGATTCATGAAAGTAAATTCCTTTGGATGAAGGAAATGTTCCGATAAGAAGTAGCAAAACAGGTGTTTTGTAAGATTAAATTTCTGATTTACTGCCCATTGTACGTCGTCCAAGGTTGAAAGCGCAGGGCCTCGTCCAGCCTTCACTGTAGAGCCACTTGCTGTTGGCTTGGTCCCTGCTCGAGGTCACTCTCTCCATAGCTGTCTTAAGGAAGAGCAGACGTGTAAATACAAGAAAAGTGAAAGGGCGCTTTCCTCAGTGAGATGAGCAAATATGACCCGCAAGACTGAAAGTTTAAACTTCCTTGTTACCCACACTGCCTTGTACTTTATGCTATTGCTTGTCACTGAAGCTATGCTTTAAATTGTGCCTTTTCTGTTTGCATTTCTTCTGTGGCCGCCCAAAAGGGCAACACCTTTATTTCGAAAGTTTTAAATGTCTGATCGGGAAACTGATGAGGTGAAACTCTGTCCATCAAATCAGAGTCTGTGCAATTATACTTCTTTTTTCCTTTGGGAGCTTCTTGGACAGGTAGACCTTGTGAAATGGCCCCACAAACCAATGGGAAAGGAAACAGCATGTTCCTATTCAATGACTCGGAACAGTCCAGCACCCCAAATTGAGAGGCACCACCACGCTCCCCTGTCCTTACCTTCTCCTCGCGGTTACGTGGAGCTCTGTTTCGCTTGAGGAGCCTTGCTGGCATCGTGGATTACGCTTTGGGTTGCTAACCTCAAGGTTAGCCATTGGAAACCCTCAAGGTTAGCCGTTTAAAACCGCCAGGTGCTCCACGGGAGAAAGAAAGACTTTCTACTCGGTGAAGAATCACAGCCCCAGAAACTCACAGGGACAGTTCGACCTTGTCCTGGGGGTCGCTCTGAGTCGGGATTGACTCGGTGGCAGTGAGTGTGGAGGTGTTTTGATGCTTCATTTATATTTCTGTCGTTCCTCCCCAATGGATCCCGTACGGTCCTACCAAATAGAGGATCAACTGAAAGCCAGTCCCCTGACTCCTGCTGTGGGTGGCCTTCCTGCACGCCTTCTCGGTGCTAACGTGTCTGTTCTGTTGCAGCCGCGCCTCTCCATGTCTTGATCGTGACAACAGCAGGTGAACCTCCGCCTCCTTCCTTTTTCTGACCACGTGACTTACTTCCACTCCTCTCTCTCCCCCTCCTGCCTTCACCATGCCTCAGGATGCTTTAGTGTGAGCATACTTAGCCAGAGATAAAGAGGTTTATGTGCCCCGAATCACATTGCCCAATTCGTCTTCCTCTCTGGTGAAGGGAAAGTGGGTGTCTTATTTCACTGGAAAGTAGGTGAGGCGGGGACCTCATTCATGGGAAGCTCTTGGTGGTGAGTCTCCATGTAGCATCTTTTGTGATAAGAGGGGGAAAATGCTACCTAGAGCTGTAAAAAAGATTATGCCAAGCAATTATGCACACTGGCTGAGCTATTTTACAGTTGTACTAAAGCTGATGATGTTTTTAGCGGCAGTTAGTTATTTTTTTAAGCGTGTTCTAGCTGAGCCAAAGGCTGATGGTTAACAATGGTTTATAAATAGTGCACTCCATAACACTACGGGCTTAAAGGCACCCTTTTGATATTTTGAAAGCTGGGCTATGGAAAGACTCTCTAGTCCGGTTTCTGAAAGTATCCATTATTCTATGGCATTTGGATAAAGTTATTTGTAAAGGTTCCAGATTAGCTGCTGCTGATCAGTTTCTATGATCTAATCAGCCATCACAGGACTGCAAACTATTAATCTCCAAATAAAACCCACTGCTGTGGAGGAAATGGCAACTCAGAGCGACCCTATGTGGGGTCCTAGGGCTGTAAAGCTCCGGAGGGGCAGAAAATCTCCTCTTTCGCTCTGGGTGGGTTCAAACCGATGACCATGGTTAGCAGCCCAATTTGTAACCAACCCACGATGCCCCTGGACAGTTGACAGCCCACCTTTGAAAGTTTTTCTATTTATCATTTCATTTTTTCCCCTCAAGCATGCCAAGTAATATATTTCCAGACATACATAAAACAATTGATAAGAAATTGAATAATTATAATAAACATGAGTCCTGTTTTTTTCAAAGTCATTTTTCATCAATTTATCACTTATGATCTTTGGAGGATTTGGAAGGGGAAGAGCGATTATGGAGCAAGCTCCCAAGAGGATGTTTCCCACAGACAGACATGGGGGCCCTCTCGCTATGTATACCTGGATCACTGAAGCACCCTGATGACCTGTTTTCGTCCCACCCTTTCACCCAGTAACTAACTTTGAATGCGGCAATCTCCCTCTCGTCCCCACCCTGTGATCATGGATGGATTGAAAGTAAAGCTAAGATTTTGACACGTTTTGGGCAAAGGATGTAATCCTCAAAAGACCCGAATTATTGTTCTCTGCTGACTCCTGTGAAGCATGCACCTGTTGAGCTAACCATTCTGTACTGATCAGCAAGTCAGATGCATCATTATGGGGCGGGGGGTGCTTTGCCTTTTATTCTTTGTAAATTGTGATAACGGCCTATCTCACAATGTAGAAAATTTCCATGAGAATTTCTACTTTGCATGATTGCTGTGGTTTATTGAGTTTCCTTTGGAGAGTAAAATAATATGCAATTAATCCTGAGTGTGTTCAATGCGCTATTTTTTCTTGGAAGGAGTCCCTGTTTAGTGCACATTAGTATGCATGTCCGTTTTCTGCAACACAGTTCCATAGACCCCGTGTCTGTATGACAACAGACGGCGATCTTCCTTGGACAGTCGTTTAGTGTTCACCTAGGAATTCTTCCCCGAGCATTTGAAACAGAAGCTGTAAGCAGGTTTCCTATCCACGGCGGCAGCAGTAACTGCACGTGGGATCCCAGGCCCTTGTACCTTATTTAGTGAAGCCTCAGGGTTTCTGGATGAGAAAACGGAAAGCTGCAGGGGCTGAACAAGGAGCCGGAGGTTACAGCAGTAATTCAAGATGGAGTTAGCCTGGACCTGAGGAAGAGCTGAGTGCTCGTGGCATTTTTCCTGTGCTCTCTGATAATAGTCTTTTTTTATATATATCTTTTTAAAATAGTGAATGCTATAAATGAATAAAAACTCTGTAATTATATGAAACTGCCCAATACAGTTCTTGGCTCATAGTAGGTACTCAATAATAAATGTGAGTCTCTTGTTTTCAATGTGATATACTGTATTATTTTGCTACACTGTAGTTTTTTTAAATGGTCAGAAGTAGAATCATTTGGCTATTAGAGAAGAAAATGATGGCAGCAAACATTTATTGCTTGCTATACACTGCCTTACTTGTTATTTCATTTTCCCCATCATTTTCAGGAGCGCTATCATTATCCACCTTTGACAAGAGGTTGCAGAGATAAGCTCCAACTCCTAAACTATCTCCTCTCTACACATTTAGTTACATATCTTTGGTGGTGGTGGTGCTGTGAGGTGCGGTTGAGCTGGGGCTGGCCCGTAGTAACTGCCTGAGAGCTTTAATTCTGAGCACCTCTCTTTGCAAAGGGCCATAGGGATGACTTTGCCAGTCCAAATAGAGGCCCGGCATAGATTAAGTCTCCACTGAATTCTTTCTGAACATTAACCAAGGACGTGGACAATCATGCCGTTGGGCAGAATGCCTTGGGAAAATGGATTCCCTTCATCCCTCTCTGGCCAGCCCAGGGAGGGGTGGTCTCTTTTAGAGGTTTACTTGACTGTGTCTTTGATAGAGTTCACCACACTGGGGACAGAACAGGGTCATGAGTCCTGCCTGTAGGTCTCACTCTTTCTGCCATGGTCAGAAAGCCCTGACCAATCTTTTAAGCCTTTCCATCTTTTAAGCCTCACCATCCAATGATGTTACCGCTCCAGCTTCAGTAGTCCCACCTATAACCGTGCTGTATTGATCGACCTGCCACAAATCTTGAATTTGCAGCAGTTCTCTTTGCCCTCCCATGCCGTTTTTAAAGTTTGTATCTCCACAAACCCTTGGATACCATTTTGACCTGATGTGAACGGCCTCCTTCCCACATCTGGATGATGTGTCTGTGTCTTTGTGTTGCCTTTGTCCCTTTTCAGACTTAATAAAGGTTCTCCTGCAAGTATATTCAAGATGGGCGTCTCTTTCATCCCCTAAAACACAAGCACAACAGAGTGGTCCTCAGCCACCTCCCCAGACATTGCTAGGATTATGCTAAGGTTGCGTTCGCTGTGTCTGTCTGTCTGGCTCACCGAGCTCTTCTTCGTGGCTGACAGGCCACATTTCCAAGCATCTCAGCCTTTCCCGGTGATTCATCCCTTTGGAGAACACATCCATTTTCACTCCTAAGGAGCGTTCTAGCGGTAACAGCTTCCAAGACACATTTGTTGGTGCAATATTCCTCACAAACACCTAAGTCGTTGGTGCCCATTCTCCTGTAGCCCGCTTCTTCAGTGCTCAGCTTTTGCATGCATAGAAGGTGATTCAAAAGACTGGGGCTTGGGTTGGCCGCACCCCAGTCCTGGAGGTGACGCACGTCTCTGCTTTCTATCACTCGGAAGAGGCTTTGGCAGTGGATTTGCCCAATGCCATCCATCCTTTGATTTCTTGACTGCTGCTTCCATGGGCACTGGCTGTGGATCCAAATAAAGGGAACTCCTCGACAACGTCCATATTTTCTCTATATGTTGCCTGTGGGTCCAGTTGTGAGGAATTTTGTTTTCTTGTTAGAGAGGGGTAATCTATGTTCCAATCTATGATCCTTTTCAGTATAAGATCTCTGAGCTTATAGCAAGCGATTGTGTCATCTGCATATTTACTTAAATTATTTTAAGAATAACTCAGAATTTACAAATAAAACCTTGTTCCACTTTTAGTCGATTGACGACATAAAAAAAGTATTTTTACTCAAAGAGCTCTACTTGTATAAGAAATTGTACTCATCTCATGATTTATACCTTTAAACCTCTCAACTCCTTAACCAGCTATGAACCAAAAACATTGGGATGGGTTAGGAATCAGCACATATTTAGATGTGGTTTCCTCTCATTTTTTTCTTTCTTACAAAATGTAACATAAACTTGGTTACATAGAGATGATAAACTAGAAAATGCCCTTGATATACCTGTCGATTTATTAGTCCTTTCATTCTTAGGAGGTAGTGCATTTTTTTAAAAAAGTCAAATAGAGAATAGGTTGCATAGGAATTCAGACTGAAAGACACATCATGCGAAAAGAAACTTACCCATTCTCATTGTGTCTCAAGGGCCAGAAACAGCAAACACTTCAGGACTGGACTATTATCTTCACTCCCTAGTTTTTACTCTAAATAACAACAACAACAACAACAACAAATTCAGAGGGCTGAGGAGGTGAAAGCTGGCTCCTGCATGTGGACAGGTCTTGATGTCTCTTCTCGGGGCCACACCCTGCATGATGTGCTTCAGACAGGCATTCCGGCCAAGCTGTCCCTTCTTTTATTACTCGTAACAGGGTTTCAGTTTAAGAGCATGTTGAATGAGTTCTGTGTTCTGCGATAAAGAGGATGCTATTTTTCTTAACGTGTTTGAAAAATAACATAAATGTATGTTGTTTTAACCCCACAAGTCAGTCTGACACATGCCTTTCAAATATCGTCCATGTCATCCTCTCTACAGTATCTAGGTGTGGTGACTCCGGCGTTGTCCTGTTCTAGGGAAGCGATCAGTAGAGCCATAACATAGCTCTCTTTGTCCATTTTGGTGTCGAGAGCTTGCAAAAGCAGTCAACATTGGGAAAGACCATGATGTAATTTGTGCCAGGGTACACACACACTGTGTGTTTGCATCTCTGTGTTCACTTCTGCAACACTTAGGTTGCCGCTTTGAAGCCTGTCCCTTGACAAAGTGATGCACCAGAGTGCCCCACAGAGTGACAAGGACTCAAACTGAGCCGGATCCAGAGCTGTTAAGAGCAGCCCAGGGGAGACAACTTCAAAGTTAAAAGAAACACTTGCTAAAATAACCAAACCAAACACCCCTGGACGGACGGCAGTTCCCCTTTTCATGCACAACTAGCTTGGCAGGAGAAGAGCAAAACTAATAGCAGTGCATTTACTACTCTTCGTTGCTGGTTAGGATTTTCCATATTTGTGGGAAATCCCAGTACATAGATAGTCCTCATCAACATGAGCACAAGGGTTCTCACCACCAGGACTTCCCATGAAATCAGAGCAGAGGAAATGAATCCTTTCCTTCCGTTTCCATTCCATCTTCAGCTGAAGGAGAAGAGTAGAGCAGAAGGACTCTCAGGTGACAAAAAATACATTTCAACAAAGAAATTGGTTCTGCTAGAAATATTGCTCTTTTCCTCTGAATATAGTGTACTCAGTTTAAAACCTACAATTTGGGTGCGATGATGTTAGTTAGAGTCGACGCACATTTGTAGACTTGTCTGTGTGAAAAGGCAAAAGCCACAGAGGTGTATTGACCTGAGCTTCTAAGAGGCAATCATGAAAATTCGAGTTGAGTTGACTTAGAAAAGCGGCCACTTGGCCTTTCTTCTAGGCTTTATCCTTCCATTATTGTAACACGATTCCTGAAGAAATGCATATAAGGAAGCCTATGCATGTCCTTTTATCCCTTTTTATTTTTTTAAGTAGCATCTCCAATGTTCTTTCAATCAGAGTTAAATCAAGTATTTCAAATTTACAGTCTATCGTTAATTTTTGTACTGTCAACAAAAAACGGTAAACTTCTTCTTCACTCTTTCAGAACAGAACCATAGAAAAGGCAAAAGCCACCATCACCCAAAAACATAAACACCGAAGTTAGAGTACACTAACTTTTAACCCATTTCTTTTTCTTTTACCATTCATCTATATAAACACAGAAGAGAGAGGTTGAGAATCAAGCATCTGGGGAAACATTAACTTGGGGGAAAGTATGTTTTTCTGGCCTACAAGATTTCAAAGCACATCTAATCTTCTACTTTAATTTCTAGTTTCCTGGTTAGTTTTATGGTGGATGCCCGAGGTGGTGCTATGAGAGGATGCAGACACAATGGGCTACGAATCATTATTCCTCCTCGGAAGTGCACCGCCCCCACACGCGTCACCTGCCGCCTGGTCAAACGCCACAGACTGGCTACCATGCCGCCAATGGTGGAAGGAGAAGGCCTAGCCAGTCGCCTGATTGAAGTCGGACCTTCTGGCGCTCAGTTCCTTGGGTAAGGGTTTCTGATAAGCCTTCCACTTGGTTACGGATGAGCTTATGTCCGCTGCATGACATCTCTAGGATGGATTGGAAAAAGGTACGTCGACCCATTCTGAAAGAAGATTGGCCCCTGTGAACATTTTTTTTAAAAATTGGAAATAACACCTTAATAATTGACTCCACTTTGTGCCCCTTATTTTAAGGCGTTGGTGAGTTAAGCAGTCAGGTTGATTATTATTTTTCTCTGTGGACGTGTAGTTCCTAACCTCCCAATGTGAATAATCCCATTTTTACCAATGGTAGGTATTTCCCCCACTCCCAAAGTCATAAAGAAATAAAACTGCACTATCCCCATAGAGGGACCCCTGTGGTGTAGTGGTTTATGCAGTGAGCTGCTATACACAAGGGTTGGTGGTTCGAAACCACCAGCTGCTATCCTTGAGAGAAAGATAGGGCTTTCTACTCTACAGTTACAGGCTCAGAAACTCGCAGGGGCAGTTCTACCCTGTCCTGTGAGTCCTCCGTAGCAGTGAGTGAGTTACAGTAGAAATTACAATGGCAACATAAAGTCTCATGTAGTTATAGAATAGAATCATTATATTTGCTATGGAAATCAGTATTGCCTTTAGAACCTACCCCCAAATTTAGTCTATGTGATTTTTTCCCCTGTTGTCAAAATTGCTATTTTGTGCTTTGATGATTTCACTCACAGTGTATTTAGTCGTGGTTTGCGTTAAGACAACAAAATCAAGACTAACTTCCCTCATGCTCATTTTAGCAATTTTGAGCAGAACTAACATCTCTTCGTTCTTCTGTTTGTTGGCCGGCTGCTATCACAGTGCACGGCACCCGAGGTGCCGAGAGAGGAATAGCTACCGCCAAGAGCTGACAAAAGGACGAAGTTGGGGAGGGAAATGTTTCAAAGCATTTTGAAACAAGTCAATTGTCTTTAAGTCTTGTCATATTCAGTCTTGATGCTTCAAAAAAACGAAGAGAAAGACTTCTGAATCATGAAATCTTTTACTTTGCGCGTGCCGTGTCAAGGAGAGGATCGCTGACTTTAGACTCAAGAGAAGTCCTAAAGCCTCCTTGTCATTTGGAACGTGCCACCGGCTTGTTTGCTTCAAAGTACTTCCACCCTTAGAAGAGAGTGTGCCTGGCCATCCCAATGACGGAAGCCACTCCCCACGACCTCCTGTCAGATAGGCCCGAGGTTTCAAAAGAGCCTGCGAAGTTCTGAGCTGCATCAGAAAACACTATTGGTTGTAGAATTTCCCCATGCTTCTCATGATAGTCTGTCCCAACCGCTGGCCCTTCCCCACGCTCAGGTAGCTTGAGTTTGGGAGTCCTCTTCAAATCTGTTGAGGAAAACCCATGAAGCCATCAGCTCTCTCCTCCCAGTCAGAGTTTTCATTCTATTCCCAGCAGCTTCTTCTGTCCCATGGAGCATATATTTATTTTTCCCTTGCGTTTTCGTTTTTTGTTTTTCCCAGTGCCCTGGCGGTGAAGCTAAATAGGGACAGACGTGACCCCTGCGGGCTCTCCTTCCCAGATGCGCCTCCATTGTCCACTCTGGGTCTTGAGTCCGTGCTCTCTGTGACCAATGGAGGGGGCAGCACCGAAGGCAGTGAGGAACCAAAGTTCACCCTGTTGATCAGCTGGTGACACTGGGGTTCCGTGGAAACCATACCTGAAGCTTACCTATGTTCTCTCTTTCACTGCTGCTTTGGATGTACTCAGTAAACTTCACCTGCCAACGGCTCCTCCCCCACTTAATGAGGGAGAAAGTTTGGTCAGCCGCATCCTTCAGCTGGGGCCTCCTGGAACCAAATTCCTTGGGTAGGAGCGACGTAAAGCAGATTGATGGCTGCCAGCACCCCCATTCTTCTCCTTCTTCTGCAATATGATTTCTCTTTCCGTCATTGTGCCCATGACATGCCCCTCTCTATGATTTCGATTCTGTCTAGCCTATCTTTAGTGGACCGTCTCTGACCCGTGTGGTGTGTGCTTTTGTTTTGGAGTGATGTTTTTTATCTCTTTCCCCCTCCAGTGCTGCGACCTCCATTTTCCTTTAAGCATGAGATCTGCCTAGTTGTACTACGTGCTAGTTCTGACGTTGTGCGGATGAGTGTGGAGTCTGTCTCAAAGCCACCTGGACTCAAAAACCAAAAGCCTCAGTGCCCTTTGAGGATGAATGTAACTTGCAAATCGACAACAGCCACAACAATAGCAACAACAAGGACAAAAACAAAACAAAAACAGGGTGGTGCATGTGCTGGATCTTAAATGTAATAGGCCTTGGACACAGTGGGGTTGTCTGCTTACCCGATCAATCAGGGCCACACTGTGTACACATGCCTATTTGTTTCCTTGAATGACAAACATGCAAGCACAAGCCACGAGTGCATGACTCTCATTCACAACTAGCTAACCTTTCTGACATCTCCTCATTGACAAAACGTCCGATGATGCAGCCTACAAGCCATTGTTTCTCCGAAGCCATTCTGTCATTCTGCACCATGTAGACGATATTGTAGAAGATTGGCACACCTTGTCGATATGCATGCACATTCCTTTTGGTTAAATGTGATATGCTTACATTTATCAAAGGAGACGTTCCAGAATGCCACATGCACTCACAGGGAGACATTATTCGGCTTAAGGTCACAGCATGTCCCTAGGGGGTTGTGTCCCTAAGGCGGAGTGCCACTGTGCAACCATCTGCTAGCCACTGAGCTCCAGGGAACGGTCCACTCTGTCCCTGTCACCAGAAAGGGAAGAATTCCAGGTCACTTTGTAACAGACGGCGTTGAGGGGCTCGTCGTGGCGCGGGGTAGCTCTCACCACACTGAAGGCTTGCCTTGTTGTGCCAGGCCTGTGATTGTGGAGATCCCTCACTTCGCGGCCCTGCGAGGGAAGGAGCGCGAGCTGGTGGTGCTGCGCAGCGAGAACGGGGACAACTGGAAAGAGCACTTCTGTGACTACACCGAGGACGAGTTGAATGCCATCCTCAATGGCATGGAGGAAGGTACCTGGAGTGCTTTGAAGCATTTGCACGTGGGAACCTACACATGACGTTGACTGTGTTTGTTTCTTAGGACTGTGTGTGTGTGTGTGTGTGTGTGTGTGTGTGTGTGTGCCTATGCACATGTCCTTTGTAGTGTGACCACAGCAGGTAATCTGTTCCAAGGGGAATGAATGGAAATGCACAGCACATTTGCCTAATCTTACATCTGTTATATTCAGAGGAATAATTTCTTCCTGATATCAACCATCTTGTTTTAATCAGGAAATACACTTTTGAGAATCTAAAGTGCTACTTAGACTAGAGATGCTGTTTGACTTACAAATAAACTGATAAAAAAAAACAATAACAACAACAAATAAACTCCTGCCATTAAGTCGATGCTGACTCACAGCAATCCTATACTAAATCCATGATTAGAAGAAATACTTAACTTGAAAATTTACATATTTTAAATAATTTACACTGATAGAAAGTACCAAACTTTTCCACTGGAAAAAAATTATACATTACCCGTTACTGATAGGATAATAAAACACATTTTTCTAAATTTCTATTATTAAGGAAATAGGACAATTACATTCACAGAAACTTCTACCAAGACATTATATAGAAAATTCTTCCGTGTTGAATTTCACACGCACATATGCATTTCTATTTGAGGATCTCAGCTTCCTAATAGTGCAATCTCTCTGAAAATCCTAAATATAGATTGGCCCGTTAAGACATTTTCAGGTGGAAATACCTCCCATTTGTCTAAAGCAGATGTGGACAACCTTTTTTCTGCCCAGAGCCATTTGGATGTTTATAACATCACTCATAGGCCATACAAAAATTATCAACTGAAAGATTAGCCTGCTATATTTGGTCCAACATTTAATTAATTCACCCATAATGAGATAGATAGAACTGCTTCCTTTGGTAAGGCGTGTGATGTTAGCTGGTATTGATTTCATAGGCCTTTACTGTGACCAGAGGACCAGAAGTTCCCCACCCCTGGCCTAGAGGGAAGTAGTCCAGCACTAGGAGCCATGTTCCCCTTTCTGAAACCACAAAAATAGGACAAGTTCTTTGCCTGAATGCCAAGCACCTCCTAGGTGTTCTATAGAGCAAGACACTCAAGGGGAAGTGTAGCTTTTTAGAACATCGGTGCATTTTCCAGGACCACCCACTGCAGCTGTTTAATTGACACCAACCCCTTCAACATTTCTTCTGTTACTTACTGAAGTCTGGTTAACAGATAGAGGATTCACTGATGTAGTAGATGAATGGAGGAAAACAATATGCCTTCCCAGTGTGGGGGCCGATGTCTCTCAAGCCAGTCGAAGCGATCAATGATCTTGTTGATAAAGCTTGTTCCTTGGAGTATTTAAATCCAGTTGCCATTGAGTTGGTTTTCCCTCATGGACACCTCGTGTGTGTGGACGGGGACTGTGCGCCCCACTGTGTGCAGGCGCTGAGCTGCCAGTGGTAGGTCCCTAGGCCTTTTTCCTGACCTTGGGTGGACTTGCATCCCTAACCCCCTAGTGAGCAGCCAAGCAAGTTAATTGTTGGCACTATGTCGGGACTCCATGCAGTGTTTGGCTGCTTCCAATTCTCAGAACCTTTTCTTCTGCCAGCACTTAGATTTAACATAATTGCCTCTCAGTTACTTACCTGTTGTGGACACAAGCATGAGCTTTATCATCTCACCCTTAGGTGGAGGGAGACCCACTCCTGTACTTTCAGTGCATGTGAAATGCTCATTTTTAACAGGCTAGCATACTTGTGTGTTATGTGTGTACGAGGGGCAGTCGATTATTTTACATGTGTATGCTGTCCTTTACCAGTCCATCATTCATCATCCTTCAATTATTTATTATCCTGGCACTGCCGACTTCTACTCCCTACTGATGCCTAAGAAAAATAGTTATGAGTTATTATTCCTGCCTCTAAAATAAGCTGTAAATGGCTTTACAGATGAACACAAAACCCCAACATCCATAATCCTTTATTCTGTCAGTGACTCACTTAGTTCAAATGTCTTACATTTTTAAAGGGCTATATTTTGGTGTTGCCCTACATATCTACAGTAATGCAGTCTATAAAAGTCCATCAGGGCATCCTTTTGATGTTAGATTACTGAGTGGTCAGTTAATGGGCTCAAAGGAATATTGAAACCCTGATCTTTTTTTTTTTTTTTTAAAAGCCACAATCACTATGTCAGACAACCAGGCCACTGGAGCAAACACACCAACCTTGTCCTTCCAAGACACATTTTTAGATTCCTGCATAGTCCCATTATTCTCCTAAAAGGGGATCATATTCCTTCTTAAAACCACAATATGTGGTCTTTGAGCTGCTTTGGAGCTTTTCAAAGAAAGAGAGTCCATTGACAACGTCCTCTTCATCTCACGAATTAAGGGTGGAGCAGGCTCATTTTCCCAAATCCAGGTCAGCCCTCAAACCTCCTTAGTTATAAAGGCAGCACTGCAATCCTAAACTAGATGCTTTTCTTTGATGGTGCCCCAGAAAGTCTTACTTTTCAGTAATAAAGGGACGAAAAGTGCAAATAAAATGCCAATGAGTCTTAAAAGATTGCTTTTGTATGATATGGCACATATACATGCAACCAAACATTTGCCACATTGACACGTTTCCCAGGTACAATTCATTGACATTGACGACGGCTGTGGTGTGTTTCAGCCACCACCATTCTATGCTTCTAACATTTCCCATCACCCTCAGCAGAAGCTGACCATCTCCTTTTCCTTCCATCCTACGGTTCCTGGTCACTGCTAATCAATTTTGATCTCCTTCAACCTGCCCATCTTAGATCATTCATATCAGTACGATCATGCAGTATTCTGTTATGTGCTCTTTTTGTATTTCTGTGTGTGTTCATAGGATAGTTCTCGAGATTTCTGTATTATTTTAAAAGAGGGAGAGTTTTTTTGGAGGGGGCTGTTGAGGAGGCACATCTGTTCACTATCAACTATGCTAATGAAGCTGAGGTTTGATAGACTGCTTTCAGAAGGACATCCTTGCTATATGAAGATGGGTCATTTTTTGTCTCAGTGCTGGACAGTCCAGAAGACCTGGAGAAGAAACGGATCTGCCGTATCATCACCCGTGACTTCCCACAGTACTTTGCAGTGGTGTCTCGCATCAAACAGGATAGCAACCTGATTGGCCCTGAAGGAGGTGTGCTGAGTAGCACAGTGGTCCCCCAAGTGCAGGCTGTCTTCCCCGAGGGAGCCCTAACCAAGCGGATCCGCGTAGGCTTACAGGTATGCGTAGGCTTACAGGTATGATCATATAAATTTCCTTAGCATGCATTTTCTTTCTCAGTAATTAACATTCAGTAATCAGTAGACCATAAGTGGTTGTAGGATCTAACGGTTCATGGTTAAGCACAAACTGCTACTGGTGATCATCTCATTGCTATCCAATTGATTCCCACTCTCAGCGACGCTATAGGAGAGAGCAAAACTGCTGCTTTCAGTTTATGGAAGCAGACAGCCTCCTCTTCTGCCCAAGGAGCAGATGGTAGGTTTGAACTGCTGACTTTGCAGTTAGCAGCTCAATGCCTAATCTACTATATCACCAGGGTTCTGATCATATGTCTCATTAAGTTTTATATAACTATTTAGTAGTAGTATTGAACTTGTGCTTTCCCATTTTGAAACCCACCAAAGTGATTTATTAGATTAAACACACACACACACACACACACACACGCGCACACGTACGCACACACGCGCAGGTTGCTTTGGCACATCAAGATACATGGTTCATTATGTGTCTTCTCTGAAAAGGCTCAACCTATGCACAGTGAGCTGGTGAAGAAGATCCTCGGCAACAAAGCTACCTTCAGCCCTATTGTCACGTTGGAACCGAGAAGAAGAAAATTCCACAAGCCAATTACCATGACCATTCCTGTCCCCAAAGCTGCAAGCGATGTCATGCTGAATGGTTTTGGGGGCGATGCGCCCACTTTAAGATTACTATGCAGTATAACAGGTGAGTCACACAGAGCTATTCTGAAAGAAAAAACTCAAATTATTGTAAATATTGAATTATATCTGTCCTAAGATGCCTGCAGAGATCTATACATTAATTGGGGGATTTATGAATTCTAATTAACTAGAGAAGAAATGTAAGATGAGAAGAAAATAAAGTCTGTATGCCAAACACTAGGTACTTTATGCACATTATATTTTTCATCTGCCTAATGGCCATTATAAGGAAATACTAACTCAGTTTTACTGTTAAAGAAAGTAAAGTGAAGAGAAATCTAGTTTACTCAGGACTCCACCATGAGCACTTGGCAGAGTTGAGTTTCAAACAAGAGCACATATACTCATTCTTCCAAGTCTAGTCTTCATTGAAGAAACTGTCTTCTGTCTGTTGAAAAAAGATTTCCTGAATAATGACACTCAACCATTCAAACCAAATTTTTTTTCCTGTTAAGGGCTTGGCTATCTCTTTGTCATTGATCTATTGCACAAACTTTAGTTTAATACAAATTAAAGAAGTTTAAGAATGAACTAAGTTCTGTCCCTTTCCACTGGTAGTTGTAGTAGCTGGCAGGCAACTACCGAACTCGAGAGTAGCCTTCCAGAACTTTGGGTGTCTCTGCACAGCCCACCACACCAGGGGAGAAGACTGTGCAAGTAAAAGTGGTGCAGATGATGCACTGCTTCCAGGCCACACGATTTGATCATGTCCACATTTAATAATAACTGCATGTTATGAGAGTCAGTAAACATTCATACTATTGTTGAGTGAGTCAGTAACTACTTGTTGTGGCCTCTAGTAAATAGCTCTAGGTTTACTTGTAGGGGTTTCAAGCATTGCTAGTTGTTTTGATAATCTTTTTTTTT